TTCCTGCAAGTGAAATGACAATTTTTATTTTGTCACGACAAGAAATTTACATAATGAAAGCAGTAACCCTATTTTGAGATGTTAAAAATGGAAGATAAGAAAGTTTTGAATTTAAATTGATTTTTGAAGAAGGACTTCAAGCATTTAGTCTTGCTATTATTCTACGTGGCTTTTTAAGGTAATTTATAATTTTATTGTTTTTTGTCTCTTTGTTTGTTTTCTTATTTTGCTGAGAATGCTCATGAATGTAGACATAAAATATTTTATATTGCAAACTTATATGCCATTGTTATCTTAATTAATGATTTGTATTCCAATTCTGGAGGAATTTACTGATAATACTTTTAATTGTGTATTGGTTTCTGGTTTATTAGAATGTGTAAAATAGTTATATATATGACTAATAATTTAATGCATAAAATCTTCTGTATTAAATAGGTTTTTTAGTACTTATGTAAAGTAAACAAAAGATAATGTTAAACATAAAACATCACCAATGTACTAACTTATATTATTTTTAGCTTTTATTTTAAATCAAACAGCCAGAATTTTTTTGTCATCTTCATGTACTAGATCATCAATTTGTATTTGTTCAAATATTATTAGGCTCTTGAATTTGCATTCTGTTTAACATTGTAAGTTAAGTTCTTAAGCCAGCAGGTCTGGCATGTTTTAGATGCAAAATTTTATTATAATTTCGAGCTACTATTTTTGCAAAGCAAGAATAAATTCCCCCTTAAGCAAATTTAACTTGAAACTAAAAATTAATTTTAGTTCCTATGCTTTTAACTATAGCATTCTTAAAGATCCTTTGATTTATATCAAGTGTTTTGTCCTTAAATTATTTTAGTAAATAAAGATCTTACATTTTGCTTTCATATTTCATTCTAGACTGTTTCAAAGCAAAATGTGCTTTTGGTCATGCTGTTAATTATGTACTTCTTCTTGTATTTAAGTAAAATAATTCTCTCTCTGATATCTGTAAAACTTAAGCATGACATATTTGGCAAAACATAATTCACGACATTAAATAAAAATGAATGTTTCATCTCTACTCTATTTGTCAGTGAGAAAATGACTTTTTGTTGTTAAGTAATTGTTGTTTACAATGTTACGAAGAGATACAAGTTACACCAAAGTATTATTTATTGGCACATGTAGCATAAAGATTAAATTCATTTGTTACATTATTTAATATTCCTATAAAACTCGGCTATACCAGTTTTGCTGTCAGCATTTGAATTTAATATTTAATACTGAATTTGGTATTACTGAAATTAAAAAAGAAAAAATATGTAGCAGTTTTCAATATTTAATCATATTTTTAATTTTCATTAATATTTTGGTAATGTTCATTTTACTAATTTGTTGTTTTCACTTACATTTCAGATGATGAATTTGGAAAAATGAATTTAGTTTTCTATTGCTTTTATATTTTTGTGAAGACTTGTAAAATTTTGAAATTTAATGTAAAATTAGATAATTAAAATAATGTCTGGTAATATCACAGCTTCATCATTTTGATAACAACAGTAAAACACTAGAAACAAATTTAACATATGAACAATCAATAATTAATTATAATTCTTTCCGAAGGTTTTAGAAATAATACCGAAATCATAACACATGTCATTAAGTTTTCAAAAATTAACCTATCCATGCATTAAACATGAAATTATCTGTTTATAATAATGTTTTACGTTAATGTATCTAAAACAAATAAAATTTAATTGAATAGAAATGTAAATGGCATAATAAAGTTTAAGATTGAGGATTTTTATTATTACTATTGTTATTGATGTTGAACTGAAAAGAGAATTACTCTTTCCTTCCAAGTTAAGAAAGGAAAAATGTGAAAGGTGCATTTTAGATTACATTGAATGGCTCTTAAATTTCATTAACTTTTCTCTGAATAACATTAAGATGTTTTTTTTTTTTTTTTTTTTTTTTTTTTTTTTTTTTTTAAGCAGTCACTATTTCTAATTTATGTATTCTTTGTTGTTACTGATTTAAACTGTATTTCAGTTTACATGAGACATATAAAATCATAATTTTAGACACTAATACTACATCAATTAGTATATATTATTTTTCAATGGCCAAAATATTTATAGTATTAAGACACCGACTCAACAAAAATGCTTTCAAAATGACGAAAAAAAAATTCTGATAAGTTTTGATATATCTTGGAAACATCATTAGCTGCGAGACATTAAATTAACGAAAAAGTGAAATAATTACGAAAATAAAATGGTCATTAATAAAGAAGAAATTTCCTAGAGACTAATACATAGGTAGAGCCTGTTCTGAAAACTAAACAACTGAAAACATACAAACTGTTCTGAAAACAGGTATATTTTTATTAATGTGCATTAAACAGAAGTCATAATCTGAAAAAAAAAGGTAGGTGTCTCTTATTACTTTTATGTTTTAAGGTAAAACATATGAAAGTAAATTATTTTTTTAATTTGCTTAGTTGATCATACAATACATAATAATGAATATGAATTTTTTAATAAAAATTTATATTTTTCAGTAACTTTAAAATTATTTATATTATCCATTTCAGTAATTCTACAATATTAAATTCATATATTTTTAGCAAAATAATTTACTTAATGAACAACTTTTTGGTTTATTATTTTAGCTTATCATATTTAACAAACTGGAAAATTTCACCTTATGCAGGGGAAAAATTGAATGATGTTTTTACATTTGTAATGTGCATATATTATGCACATATAAAGATAAAAATATGGTATTAAATAACCTGTGAAAATACATCTAGAATTTATAAAAAAATTTATTTTTACACAAATTATTCCTAATTATAAAAAAATTAGAATTAGTAAAAAAATTAGAAAAATTCACGTAAATTTCTGCGTAAAATATACGTTTGTTAAAAGTAAAAAAATGTGCAATTTACATAAATTTTCACTAAAAATATATGAAGTAAAAAACTGGGAAAATTTATGGGTACTTTTCCGTTTCGCCGGCGCAAATCTCACCAAGCAGACTTTATTGGCGACAACATACATTATACACACAAAAAATATTTAAAAAATGTTAATCCTAAGAATTCTTTTTTTGAAGGCATAAACATTTTAGTATCGCTTAAAATTTTATAAAAAGCCAATAAATAAAGACAACAAATTTATAAAAAGACATTAATTTAAGAATTTACTATGCTTTCATGGTTCAACATCCTGTTTCGCCGGTTCATATCACGTGACCCCAAGCGATCTCATCTCACGTATACTACTCTACAAAAATATAATGCTCTCAGTAATTATCTACATTAATTTCAAGTTAAATCTTAATTTGGAACACAAGTTTAAATGCAAGAAATACTTCAATTCGTACGAATAGCTTACTCAGAAATTAAATAAAACTGCAGTGCTTTACTTCGCTAATGCATTCTCATTAGAATTGATGAATTTAACCCTTGACTTTACCTTTTCTATATTTTCGGCTTCGGGTAAGCGCTGTGATTGCATCCTAATTGATTTAATTGCCGAAAATGGCTTTAGCCATAAAACTGAACTATTTGAATGAGGCGTAAAAGGTTACCAGCGAGAATATTCCGTTTGGCATCGGTTGTACCATTATTGGCGACTTTATCGCTTGCGCCGGTAAAACGGAAAAGTACCAATTTATGTATATGTGGTAAATATACGTAAATTTTCAAAAATATACGTAAATCCTTAAAATGTACGTATATTGTATGAATAAAGCACGATGATATGTATGAATATACCTAAATTTTACGTATATTGTAACATAAAAATATATACAAATTTTTCCTCGACACTTTTCATGATATTTTTACGTTCAAGTTTTATGTATTTTATACGAAGGACCATTCGTATATTGCACGTATTTTTCGTGTTCATTTTACGAATGCATGCTGTTTGGGATCACAAATTCAAATTACTGTGATGAATTCAGCCAAATAAACCAATAATTTAACCTGAAGCAACCAATACTCATGAACAAACATAATGGGCATATCATTCGTTTTCACTTTTTATTTCCATTATATGTATCACATGATAACACATCTTCATGTACCACAATAATTCCAGCCAACATTACGTGAGTTAGGTTATTAAAAATACTTCCCTATTCACCATACTTATCAATCCTGTTAAGGTAACTACCATTATCACCTTCCAGACAACTTTCTTTTCTGGTGATGGTTTCAAAATTATAGTGATATCGAATTAGTATTTTGTGCATGTGAAAATATTGGTCCCTTGTTAACCATTTCAAATGTACCAATCCAATATTTAAGATTATTTTTACTAACGCAGCTGAAGATAAAATAATACTGAGATAAACTATAAGATAATTTACATATGAAATTTAAAATTATGTTCTGAATATAATTTTCAATAAAATATTTACGTCCTTAAATTTTTAAGACTTGAAAAAATGCATCAGCCCTGAAATGATCAAAAGTATGAAAATATATATCAAGATGTTCACAATCAAAAACCAGTAATAAACTTTGATCTTGCTGTTGAATGCAAAATCATGTATTCTTTTGTATAATATAACGTATTTGAAGCAATTTGTGTTTTTGATTTATAAATTTATTTGTATCTTGATACTATGTTTTTGTGAAAATAATATTCCTATACAATATTAAGAATTGCTATCCTAATGCTTAATTGATACTATGATTCCATTGTATATAGTTTCCAATAAAGATGTTGGTGAGACCAACACATCTTCAGACTTCAAAATTTCATACTAGGTATTAAAAAAAAAAAATTCTTCTAAACTAAGATCATCTACTTTAGCGTTAAGCTTCTTTTAATTAACAATATTCTCAGCCAATGGCTCTGGTGATACCTCTACTTAAAAGGTGAGGACCAAATTCTCATTGAATTGAATGCAGAAAAGAAACTCATTGGCAGCACATGTTTGCAATACCTGATGTAAATATGCACAACATTTCAAATAATAAACAGGATAATATTATAGTAAAAAAATACCTGAATTTGCGCTATTTAAAGCTTCTGCTCGATAATAAAAGGATGTCATTTTGAAAGGAGCGAGATAAAATGAACCTTTTTTTGCACTGGTAGGATGTTTTTCATGTACATATTTTGACCTGAAATACAATACAGACATTTTAGTATTTGAATATGATATTATACAAACATCACTAAACCATAATCAAAACAAATGCAAGTTATAAGTGATAAAAAAAATTATTTCTTATAGCATTATATTTTTAATCACAATTTGAATAATTAGAATTCCATATGAGACTTGCTTGATAGCATAATTAAAAAAATGGCTGAACAAGCCTAAATTTAAGAAGTTAAAAGAAAAAAAGGTTAATTTTCATGCAAACTATTGAAGAGAATCAAGATAAGAACATTCAGTCAAAATTTCTTAATATGGCTGCCAAATGAAATTTAGATCTTGTATTTGAAGCCAGTTTTCATTGCTCAGGATAAAATTTAGAAGGATAATGCAGCATTGCTGAAAATGTTTTAAAAATTTTAATAAAACAGGCATAAAATAATTTAAAACACATTATGCACAAACACTGTCATCAGCACATGATTTATATATGTTTTTAAAACTACAATATATAGCTGAAGACTTACTAACAAGTGAAAAGGAACATACATAGGAATTAGTATAAGAGAAATATGCAGATGCTACATTACATCAAAATTTATAATTTGCACTCCACATGCCAGAACCTTTTTTACTTCCTTGTACGAAGTAAAAAGGAAGTATTGCAATCGCAAAAAGTTTCAGGCAGCATATTTCAACGAAAATATCCATTTTGACCGGTATCGAAAGCAATTTAAAGATGTTTTTGTGTGATATCTGTACCTAAGAACAGAATAAAAAACACGTTTCCTCCAAAGAAATTATAAAACTGCTTTAAAATTAATTCTGAAGAGAATTTTTCGTGGCGTCTGTATGAACGTATGTATCACGCATAACTCAAAAACGAGTAGCCTCAGAACATTTAAATTTTGTATATAGGACTGCTACAACATGTAGATGTGCACCTCGTATTTTGGTTGCAATCGGCCACACCAAACGTATCACCAATATATTACGTATATATATATCCACTCTGTATATAAACATCCACTCGGTGACTCGGCTCAGTGATCTCAGGTTTCTTTACTCTTATATGTTTGTAAATTGTAAATTTTTTGCTTTAAAAATGAAAATTTTAAATTTTTGCTTTTAATTATGTTGTTTTTATCTTCCGGTTAAGGTTTTTATGCCTTTAGTATATCTGTATGTAATATTTTTAGAATTATCAACAATTTTAAAGTTGTTTAAGTGCTGCTAAGCCTTTTTTTTATGGCGGTCATTGATTGTTTACATTTGAAACAGCACACTAGTGGATTTGTTGCCAATCTATAGAAACTTAGCTTCGCAACAACAAAGATAACGCCTTCATTTATTATTGCCAATTAAATCATGCTTAATCCTTTCTGGAATTTTTTCGAGGAAATAAGTGTTTAAGATTTACTTTGTAATTTTTAATATAGATATTTTGAGTTTTTATGTATTTTTGCCTTCTCGCAAATTAAGAACTGAATTAATTGAATGAGAAATACTCAATCGTCTGTGAAAAACTGTTTCTTTTTTGTTTCGTTTGCTTAATTTCTTTTATACATCATTCTAGCTTTATTACAGTATTTGAATAAAATATGTGGCAACGATTAGATAATTTTATTCTTTAAATTATATAAATTTTGTGCATTATGAGTTATAATATGAACGAAAGAAACACATTCATGTAAAATGGAATTCTGTGCACTTTCAAAAAATAAAAATAATTTTCTTATCTTACTTGGTTCAGATTTGGTTAGTTCCCAAATTGGGAAGTTCTTCCTGCCACATCCTGTAATATTCGATTTACTGCTTTTAGTTAATTAGTTATTTCTGGATGGCAGCACTAAAATTAGCTGTTGTTTAAACCATTTCTTTCTCAACCCTTTCATTGTGCACTCAAATTTAAAAATAGTGTTTTAGTGGTCTATCTAAAAAATAACTACCTAAAAATAGTAGATATACTACATATACTGAATATTCTACTATACTGAATGCAAATTGCAGTAAAGCAGAAACACTGTGCTCACTAGCCTGTGGTAATATTCAATCTGATTTGTTTAAATACATTTATAAATGATAACTACAGAAGTGTTTTCTTTTTAGTCCAAAGGGATTTGAATCCCGAAGGACTATTAGTTTCGTTTTGGCATTTTGTGTCGGACTCATAAATGTCGGTTCACTTTTCAAACTGTTGCCACAAAATGTTAGAGTCCTGCATTATATTTGAAGAAGTTAAATAATGAAAAATCTGCATAAATGTATGTATATTTCTCGTATTGTGATAAAAACAACGGTACATAGAGTCATCGAATTTTGAATAACGTAATCCTCCAACGAATATGAGCATGTGGAAGACCAAATTTGAAATTTGTTTTATGATCGATTTCCTATTTTTTAAAACTTTGACGAATTTTTGATTAACAAACTCAAGGATTTCAAAGCGAGCAATGGCAACGTTGTGCAGAAAAAACATTTTTATCTCCAGCGCGTGAGTCTCAGTATCGGAAATTCTAAAGATATGCTCGTTTTAAAACTATTTTGCGATATTGCTGTTGCACTGGATCTTATGGTTTAAGTGCAAGGAACATGATATTTAATAAAGAAAGGTAACACACAAAATGTTAAAAAACGCCCCTTTGGACGTAATTTAAAATCTGAAACATTTCAGATTTTTTTTAATTTGCTTGTTTATTTCTTGGTCTAAATGTTCAAGTGATTAGAATGACAATACTTACATATTAGCGCAACCACCTTGGATAATTTAGAGATTTTTTTTACAGGGAGAAAAGAAAAGAAAAGAAAAAGGAATACTTTTTTTCTGACTAAAATTGCAAAAAAAAAAAAAAAAAAAAAAAAAAAAACTTAATCACATACATTATAATTTGTGCTTTAACTGAGTATTTAAATTACTCTGACATAACTACTTGAATATACTTTTTAATTAAAAAATTCTGGAAGACATATGAATATATATAAAAAACAAATTACCCTCCATAAAGGAATTGACATGAACAAAATAGTACAAAAAATTAGACATTCATAGTCTATAAGGTTCACTCATTTCTTTGTACTATCTTACTTAGAATAAAACACATTTTGTACATTCTTTTGATTTTTTCCATATTAACTTAACCATTTTTAACATATTTCTGTATTTAATTCTTACCATATTTACCATCAATTTAATAAACAATTCTCTGAATATAATATGAGTGTAAATAGAAATAGTATTAAGCTATCCAAAAAAATTTTTGTATTTCACCTTTTTTAAAAGAATTTTATTTTTATTAAGTAATACAGGTGAAAATTTTATTAATGATACAAGCTCCATTTTATGCAACAATTTTTTGGCAGTTCTATTATGGCAACCTTTACAAGAAATGGCAGTTGGTGCATTTCAGTTTGGTCAGAAATAGCCAAATGATGCACACAAACAACTAATTGTTGTTCCTTGCTCCAACAACAACAACAACAACAAATCATATTATAATGAGAAAGGATATGTTTCATCAACTAAATTAATTTGTCACATGAAGACATTTTTTCTTGTTACCGCTAATGCTGCATCTCCAGGCAATTTCTTATACATTGCTGGCCATTAAAATTGCACCGGGAAGGAATGATCTGACGAATGTCAAAATCACCAGAAAGGAAGAAAAGGTTGGGATATGCAGATGATTAGTATTTCAATGCATTTAGACAATGCAGGAAGGAGAAATAACAACTGAAGCACTGTATAAAAGAAAAGTTGTGTAGTGGATTTCTCATTCAGAATGTGCTTTGTAAAGCCACATTATGGACCATTAGTCAGGAAATGGGCATGATTTCAGCACGCCCAGTATTCGCTCATATGGTATGTCAACATTTACAGAAGTGTGGACTATGAGCACGATGACCATTACTTCAGAGTCCCTTGACAATGCAGCATAGAGAGAGACGGCAACTCTGGTGCTCCGAAATAACAATGCTGGATACAGGAGTGGCACAATGCCTTCTTTTCAGACGAGCCCCGGCTCTGCATGCTGGTGATATACATGTCTGGAGGCTTCAAGGAGACCATACGTTGCCTGCTTGCATTCGATACTGGCATAGGGGCCCTGTACCTGGTGTGATGGTTTGGGCCTGTTAAACACCATCTTCAAAAAGATAATGCAATACCACATGTTTCATGTCATGTTCTGATCTTCCTCGATACACAGGGCATTCAAATGCTGTCCTGCACGGTCCACCCATTCAAAATATGTGGTCATGGGTTGCTGAAAGGCTGGCCCGCTACTTCTCCCCAGCTAATACAATTGATGAAGTGCGGCATAGACTTAAGGCAGCATAGAATGAGTAGCCGGTTTCTGTCACCCAAGCACAGTTCGATTCTATACCTAACCAGGTAAGGGCCGCTTTATTTGCTAGGAGTGGCAGCTGTTTCTACTAATTTTGCACCTCTGTAAACCCCCAAACTGCTTACAGATTTAATCATTTTGTCTTCATGCCATATTAAATATCTTTAAATATCAATACGTGCAATAAATATCTTTTTGGCATTTGCTTTCCATCCTTGGTGTTGCAATTTTAATGGTCAGCACACTATATACAAATGCATATTTAGGCTATTTTTGCAAATTATTTTATCAGGTAAAATACATTTGTCTTGGAAAAAGAAAACTATAACACCTTTTCCATTGATGGAAGATTAAAAATTCTAGGCATATAAAACAGTTATGAATGAAAAACTGAAAACATTTTTACTAGCAGAACAAACAATTGATCCATGTGCAGATCAATAATTTTGGTAACTGTTCTTATCAAAGTGGAAACAGGCCAATTACAGTTTCATGCCAAGGCCACTAAAGCAGAAACATTCCAAATTTTAATCATGTATCAGCTAGCTATAAAATACCTCTCTCAAAGAATTCTTCAGACTGGGAAAGAAATCATAGAATCATAGCTGCCAATTTTGAAAGCTGGAAAACTAGGAGATATTGACTTCAAAACTGGGAGAAGAAATCAAGTGGTTTTACAATGCCCTGCAATGAATTTCAAGAGAATGCCAAGTTGGCTTAAATTTACTATATAATGCTCGATTCAAGTTGCAGAACAATTTATATTGCCATTCTGATCTAAAATATAGTATTTAAGTAGATAATCAAAACTTTGCTTTTTTTACTAATTTCATTTTATTTTGTAGTTTTTAAAATTTTTTATACCAAAAACCTGAGTAGGGAAGAAAAGGCTTTATTTATCAAAGTACTTTCAAACATGGTGCCACACAGAAGGGAAAATTGTTAATGACTCTGACTACCATACCAAAGGGGCCTGGGTTCGAATTTCGGAGAAGGCATGCATGTAATTTGTCCATCCCTTCATTGACGGTAACAGTGGCCCATCTGTCAGGTGCTTCTATAAAGAGACCATTGCTTCGGCTTTAGTAACAGCCAATGCCAATAAATGTCTACAGACCACCATTTGAGGGGAAGGAAACAAAAAATTTTCTAACGTGATAAAAATAAAATTAATGCTGAACAGTAAAATTAATTACTTAATATCTAACTGCTGGTTTAAAACACAATGGCACAGGCAGACATATGCAATAAAAAAAGAAAAGAAAAGAAAATCTGAAAGGTTTCAAATTTTAAATTATGCCTAAAGAGTTTTTTTTTTCCCCCATTTTGTCTGTTACCTTTATTTATTAAATATTACATTATTCACACTTAAAAATTCAGTTCAAGAGCAATATCGCAAAATAGTTTTAAATTGAGCATATCTTTAGAATTTCCAATACGCAGTCTCAGGCACTGGAGATAAAAAATTTTTTCTGTACAATGTTGCCATTGCTCGCTTTGAAATCCTTGAACTTATTAATCAAAAATTTGTTAAAGATTTACAAAATATGAAATCGATAATAAAACAAATTCCAAATGTGAATTTCCACAGGCCCATATTCGCAGTAGGATTACGTCATTCAACATTCGATGGCTCTAATTGTTTTATCACAATGCGAGAAATATACATACATTTATGCAGATTTTTCATTATTTAATTTCTTCAAATATAATGCAAGACTCTAACATTTGGTGGCAAAAGCTTGAAAAGTGAAACGGACATTTATAATAACATTATTTATAGTAAGCCAACACAAAATCGCAAAACGAAAACAATAGTCTTTCAGAGACAAAGCCACTTTGAACAAACAAAAAAAAAAAAAAAAAAAAAAAAAAAAAAAGAAAAAAAAAGAAAAGAAAAAGAAAAAGAAAAAAAGCATTGTCTTCACGTTTTGATGCATATTTATAATTTGTAACAAATTTAACACATAGTATCGGAAACTCACCAGTTATCAAGGTGTTAATAGTAGTTGCAACAATTCATAAAAAACGATTTTTTTATAATAGCAACATATATACAGCTTGACTTTCTTGGGATGAAATTTGAGCAGTATGTCCCCCCCCCAAAAAAAAAACCTTAATTTTATTTTAAAACAGATTTTTAAGTCAAAATTTGAGCAAATCTCTTATATTCTATCCAGGTATGGAATAATCTACATTATAGCAGCTTACCCAAACTACTTTAAATAATCATATAAAATGCATTTTGCAATATTTAGCCTGTCTGCTAGCTCCTGAATTGAGCTACAGCAGTTTCTGACAATGACTGCTTTTAAAAGATCCTCATTTATAAATATATTCACCTGATATCATCTCTGGAATGGAAATTTCCATGTTTAAACTTTACAAATACCTTGTAAACTGTCATCAGAAACAGCACCTAATACATATACTACCAAGGTTTTATACATTGTTTTGGCTGGCATTTTTTTTTTTTTTTTTTTTTTTTTTCATTAAAAAAAATGATGAAATTTTTTATAATTTTTAAAAGAGGTAAATGGCTTTAAAAATTGCAGAACCTTTTAGATTCTTTAATAAAATTATAACAATTTTTTTAAAAAATTAAAATACTGCTTTAATTAACAAATGGTAAATTGTTTTGATTTTTCAGGAAAAAAGAGAGATGTGTTAGGCAATTATGTTAATTTTTGTTTTGCCAATTCAAGAGGTGCACATTTTCAAAATCAAAACTACTTCAAAAAAATTTACCTTAAAAAACTGACCACCTTATTTATAAATGTAAATATATACAAAATTTTCTGGGCAGAAATGTTTAAAATAAAAATTTAAATGGAAATTTCAAAGCATTTCCACATAAATGACATTACAGCTAAATAAATCATGTAAAAACACAATTGGACCTCCTTTCTCTAACACTTCAAAACTACTACATATCATGTACAAAAGGCCCATGCAAAGCCAGAACTAGATCTATTATAATATAAATTTGATTAAAAAAATTAATAAAAAAATAATAATACATAATAACACAATGAACATCCCAGATAGCAAACATGAGCGTGAATTGAAAAATGTCTCGCATAACAAACTCCCTAAAAATGTTCATCATATATTATATGTGCAGCTAAACTTGTTTTACCTTCTCTTTTAACACCACATGCATACAAATAAATAAATAAATGTATAAACAAAGACAACAAGCAAGATGCAAGCAAATAAACATATTTCTTGATATTATATACCACTGAAGAACTACAGGCTCTCCTTGATTAGGACCATAAAAAATGCTCATATAAAATTTTCTTCCAATGAAGAGGAGAACAACAAAAAAATGCACACCAAATGTAACCATTGAGAATTTTAAGAGATGGAAATTGGACCAGTTTCATGTTCCTTAGTGTGCAAATTTATTTAATTAGATGTGAGAAGATTTCTAGGTTATAGATACGTAATGACTATCCTAGTATGCTGACATAAAGATAATGTTTAATCTTTCAGCAGCAATGCCATGTATTATTTCAGGTCCATTCTGAAAAAGAGGATCCTGGAAAATGATGACTTTGGGAACCTTCATAAATCTGAAAGCTAATGTGCAAGAAGTCAAAGGACAGCTTTGTCTTCAACCTCCAGTACAAGTCTGGGAAGAACTGGCATTGAACTAAATTTAAAAAAAAAGCTAGAAATGTGTAAAAATATAATGAATGTAAATGTTTTCTAATAAATAAGCAAATTTCGAATAATAACAATGTTTTTAACATTCTATAAAACTTTTTCTTGGTGTTTCATGATTCTGAACTACATTCAGGAATTGATTAAAATATATTATATCATTATTTATATAAAGAATTTCATCAATGAACAAATTTAATCGGTCATGTAAGATACCACTATACTAATAATGTTAATACATTAAAAACATCAACCATATTACTTACATATATTATACAGCAAATATAACTACTTACACTGGAAAATCAAATTCAAAGCTATGAGAATTCTCTAATTGCATCCAAAAATTTCCAGGATCTATGACATGAGTTAAAGTTGCAGAAATATTAGAAGGAACAGTAATAGAAAGGGACGGAATTGACAGTTCAAAACCTACATCTTTCGTATGCAAATTGCTCTGAAGATGAGATTCATTTTCTGGCAAATTAACATTCTGTTTTAAATTGGTTTCAATAATGCTTGTTGAATCCACAAGATTATCTAATTCACTGAAATTTGATGATAATGAACGATAACAAGAACCTTGCGAAAGCGATTTGAAAGATTCTGTTGTCAGAGATGGCGGAGAATGTTTTTGTAATGCTCCACTAGGATAAACTAAATTCTTATTACTGAGGCTTACAGAACAATAGCTATCTGTAAATGCAGAATTAGAACTGAAAGTTTGTGCATAGAGATTAATTTGGCTTTTATTTTTGTTTTGATTACTAGGCACATCAAGAGGCTGATCATCTTTACTCATTATATTCTTATTACTCAAGCTTACAGAAAAATGGCTATCTGTAAATGCAGAATTAGAACTGAAAGTTTGTGTATGGAGATTAGCTTGGCTTTCATCTTTGCTTTGATTACACTGCACATCAAGAGGCTGATCACTTTTACTGGCTAAACTCTTATTACTCAAGCTTACAGAACAATAGCTATCTGTAAATGCAGAATTGGAACTGAAAGTTTGTGTATGGAGATTAACTTGGCTTTCATCTTCGCTTTGATTAAACTGCACATCAAGAGGTTGATTATTTTTTCTGGATGAAGACAAAGAGTTCTGTTCACACCAAATATCAACAGATGGAGTGTCTTCACAGGTCGATGGTAATAAATTTTCATATACCACAGACGAGTTATCTGTTGGACATAAATTATGCAGAATAGGATTTGCTACGTGCTGAAGGCTTCTATCCTCTGTGGCATAACTACTCACATCTTCATCATCAGTCTCAGGAACAATCTACACAAAATCCAATAATTAAGTAAAAGAGTATAAGTTTTTTAAATAAAGCTTTTCAAATATAAAAGCCAACATCAGAAATGCATACTTTGTTTACTGGAAAACATACTTTTTCATATTTAATTAAATCAAAGTGCAGAATGAGAAAAAGGGAGTTCAGTTATCATACGTAGAATAATAATTCTTTTATAATGTAAATAATTCTGTTTAAATAAATCACACAGATATATATATGAAATGCATAACTATTGTAAATTATGTAGGTAATCCAGAAAGTAAATTCCTATTTCCATTTTCACTGTGAGGTAGCTGCGTTCGTTAATTCAAGTACAGTTAAAAGTCGTTAATTCGGACACCCATAATTTGGAATACTATAATCCGGACCTCAAAACTAAAAACTTTCTGCGCATGCGCCGCGTTGACACATGCGCATAGGCGTTTACGCGTGCGCGTAAGACCTTTTACGACTGCGCATATGAGTGTGCGCAAGTGCAGAATACGTTTTCGCGTGCGCGTTTTATGTATAATGGACGTATAAGCTAAAATTATCTAATTATCTATTTCAGTTAATGTTGATGATTGCGTTGTTCCTTAATTTTCGAATTGGATCCGGCTTATTATTTTTTGCAGACTGTAAGAGCAATTTTATAAAAGTAAGCTTAAACTTTCGATTATATCAAATAGAATTTCCGATATATATTTGTTAATATGTAAAGGATCTAAAGCGAAAGTATGTTTTGAAATCCGAAATCTGTTTATCAATTTCACGCTGCTCGGCGGGGGGGGGGAAGCCGTGGCGAGCGCGTAATGATTTGGAAGTTGATTTGTCAGCACTATCCTTATCTTCAGCGCAGATGTTTTTATTTTATTTGGCTTATAATTCCTTACCAAATGTAGTATTTCATTTCGATATGCTCTGTCTTTGATATGATTTAAAACAAGTTCCTCGTCATTATAATTCGCTTCCGATAACGAAGAAAAGTGACAGAGGTTATTGAAAACGAAAAAAATTTCGATTGACAAATTAGTCGGTGTTCTTGACACAGCAATTATAGGACTTAAACAGCGGAACTTTGTAACTGAACAAGAAATTATGTCTGTTTAATAGAATTAAAGAGAAAGTATTATCACATGAAACGAAGCAAAACTTAAACAACTTACATTGAAAGAAATGTTTAATAAAGTAAACAAATAAATATTAAGCTTTTTCTTTTTGCAAATTTTGATACCCTTTAGATCATAATTGTTCTTTATTTCATAGATTACGGTTTCATATTTTTAATTTTAGAATTTCTGCATGCCATCTTACGAGATTTAAACTGATGATCTATAATCCGGAAAAATCGATAATCCGGAATCGCCGAAGTCCCGACGAGTACGGATTAACGACTTTTGACTGTATACATGTTCTTTCTGCTGAGCCATTGGTAAGCAAGGAAAAGCACTTTCAGATCACCATCTTATACAGCACTTGTTTGGTAACAGTTTAAAATGTTTAAAAGAATCAAGCATCCTGCCACATGTAAGATACGATTGGTTGCCTGATTTCTCAATGTAAGGAACACCAAAACTAGTGAATTTCAGACAAATTTCTGAAGTAGTACATAGACCCACTGTGAGGGGTGATTACATGGTCAGAAGGTGGGTACAGCAATTCAAAGGACACATTCAAATGTTCTCAATAATGAATGAAGAAGCGCCCATCACTGACTGATGATGATTTGATTCCAGTAGTTAATGTGAAGATTATGGAGAAAAGATGTTTCACCATACTGACACCTTCCCTGGAAATTTCCTCAGATTTCAAAGTCACTTCTGCGTGAGTTTGCATCCAAAAAACTGAAATTCCAAAAACTATATAATCGGTAGGTACCTCACAATCTGATAGAGCAGCAGAGATTGAAAAATCAAAGCAGTGCTCTAGACTTTCTGACAAGGTACAACAAAGAGGGTGATGCCTTCTTTAAGTCGGATAGTGACTAAAGATGAGACCTGGGTGTGTCATGTAACCCGGAATCCAAACTGCAATCAATAGAATGGAGGCACATGTCATTGCCAACACTGACAAAAGTCAAGCCACTAATCATGTGTTGCAAATTAACATGCACAGTGTTTTGGGATCAATACAGCATTTTTGCTGGAGAATTTCATAGCATGCAGACAAACAGTCAACACTGCATTTTATTGTGAGATGCTTAGAAAACTGAACTGTGCAATACAGAATAAACATTGTAGCATGCTTTAGGACAGAATTTTGTTCATTTATGAAAATGCACAACCACACACTGCATGTGAGAAGCAACAATGCCTCAAAGAGTTGTAATGGTAAGTTTTTTACGAACTCCCTACAGTCCAGATCTCGCAGCAAGGGACTTTCATCTTTTCAAGCACCAGAAGTCCTTTCAGACGATGATGAGGTCAGATCCACCATCGGTTGCAAATGCAGGCAGCATCATTCTTTGACGAGGACATTCACACACTTGTGCTCCACTATGATAAATGCCTAAATAATGGTAGATCCTATGTCAAAAAACAGTCTGACCATTGTAGTTCATTATTTAATAAAGGTTAGTTTCAAATAACTGTTTCTTTTTTCTGTGTTGCTAAACAGAACTGAACTTACTTTCTGAATTACCCTCATATAATAGCCACATCTAGGAAATGACATTAATTTAGGTTTATAGTCATTACACTGAACACAAATATGTAATAATGTACTATTAACATTTTCAAATTTTCTTTCTACAACATACTACAGCACTGTATTTTACTGCCTTTTACTCTAATCAGAAACAATAATGAGTTCTAATAAGAACCATGCTCTCATCAAATACAACCCAACATCTTTATTTCTTAATATTTGCCTTAAAATGAGAGGGAGGGCCTTTTTTTATTAGTGATATTTTCTTTGGTTAACAAAAGCAACGGATAGGGTATATTTCTGTTATTCAATGTTATGAGTGTTCTCTTTTGATATAGTCCTGCTACACATTTGTGTTTATGTGTGTGAAATGACGAATGGTTTTGTCCCCAGATGGTGCTATTGTTGGGTCTCTCTGTGTTTGAGTTCTCTTTCGCAAGCGCCAAAAAGTGCACTTCCTGCACCAAAAATACCGATTTCAAGGGCCCTTCATACAATGTAGATTTTGAATGAAACAACAAAAGCAATCAGATACAAGTCTTTCTTCAGGAGCCCCCCCCCAAAAAAAAATTAAGGACAAAGAAAGACATTTATTACAACTTATTATCTCTTATTATTATTATAATTCACTAATCATTTTCATAAGGAAAAGAAAAACAAATTTTAAATTTAAAAAAAATCTGAAAGGTTTCAGTTTTTAATAGTTGCCCAAAAGGGCTTGAAAAAGTTTTTATACTCTGAGTTCATAGTATACCTGTCTGCTGCTCACTTCTACTAACCCTCTCCCTTTTTATGTCTTTTCAGCTTTATTATTAAGCAAGATTTTCTTCACAATTCAACAGGAAAATTACAAAAATTTTAAAAGCAACATAGCAGTATACATTCAGAATTCCTGATAAAGTGTTATATGTTGCCATACATTTTTCTGTTTCTTCAGTCTTTTCTCAGTTTATCATTTCAATGTTCAGTTATATTACTAAGATGGCTTTACAAAACTTTTATTAGTTTCACTTTTTATTATTAATGTTTTGTGTTTACTTTTACTTTTTTTAATAAATATCATGAACTTGGCACTTAGGTCTCATAAATTTCAATTCAGCAGCAAAATCATGAAACATTTAAAAACAGCATACCTTTAGAATTTCTGATAGAGAGTCTTGCATGCTGGAGAAGGAAAAAATGTTTTTTTCTATATTGTGTTGCCACTACTCATTTTCAGATTGTTCAGCTTGTTAATACAAAATTCATTAAAGTTTTACAAAATATGAAACAGATAATAAAACAAATTCAAAATTCGGGCTTCCACGTACCCATGTTTGGGTGAAGGACTAAATTAATCAAAACTTGATGACTCTAGGTGAGTGAGTGCATCGCTATGATGGCTTCCGACTACGGACATGAACCAAACGGAATTATATACCAACACGGCGGGGAAGACTCCAAAGTAACAAGGTTGAATATTACATTCTAATAAGAGTTTTTACATATTGATAACTGCAAGGCACTAAGCGTTATTTTGGTTATCTGCTTTAAGTTCTGAATATTTGAAACATAATATTATCCACGGTTGTTTCTGCTTAAGCAGTGTCTTGAGATTTTCTCTATTTTATCAAGGGCTATTCTGTTTTTGAGTGTGTTAGACGTCCACATTGCCCAGGCACAGTCCGCTGGTTTCTTCGAGTGCCAGGTTCTTGTATGTACACAGTGGAAGTAATAATGGTTCGTGTCGCCTTCTCCGCATTCGCAGAAAGGAGTATCCCTAAGTCTGAATCTGTTCAGGTATACTAGGTATTGTTTATCACAATGCGAGAAACATGCATACCTTCATGCAGATTCTTCATTATTTAATATTAACACAGGGGGATAATATTAGGTGGCAACAATTTGAAAACTGATATGCCATTTACAGTGCTTCGATGCAAAACGCAATTTCGAGACTAATATTCCATTCAGGAGTATCGCCCCGTTTGGGCTAACAAAAGATATCAGAGAGTTTTTATACTTATTTATTTTGGAAGGAAAATTTCATTGACAGCAATAAATGAGATCTTAAATCCCTGAGTGGTAAAAAAAAATCACTCGAAGCCATGGACAAAACATTACAAGACTTACCAGGAAACTCTGAAGTGATGGGAGGAACTCTACTTACTTTCAGGAGATTTTCGACAAACACTTCTAGTTATCCCCCAAATCAATACCAGCAGATGAAATCAATTCATGCTTAAAAAGTATCACATCTCTGGCCACATATTCGAATACTGTGACTAACAAAAAATATGAGAGCTGAACTATTGAAAGATGAAACAGCACATTTTTTTCAAAAACTTTTACAAACAGATGAAGGCACATATCCTACTGGCCAGATGACTGGCCTCATTAAACTCAATGGTGATTTCTGCAACACAGCCACTACTGAAAACAAACTGATTGACCAAATTTATCCAAACATTATTCACAACTACACCACTCCAAAGTGGCTATTTCAAAGGGCAATTTTGGCAACTAAAAATAATACTGTCGATGATATCAACTTTAATATTCAAAAGAAAATTCCCAGTGAAGAGAGAATATACAAATCGATTCGCACGATGGTAAATGTTTAAGATAGTGTTAACTTCCTTACAGAATTTTTAAACTCTTGGGAAGTACCAGGAATGCCATTGAACTACCTTCAACTGAAAATCAGATCCTGATGATACTACTTAAAAATCTCAACTCTGTAATTGAACAAGGTCGGTAGTCAAGCAGCTATTGAATAACATCATTGAAGCCGAACTCATGACTGGAAAGGACACACAGTATTTATCCCCAGAATACCAACGATATCTACTGAACATTATCATTATTATTATTATTTGTGTGCATGTGTGTGTTAACACCATTTTTCTATTTTAAAAGATGTTTAGCACAGGATTTATAACAAACATTAAAGCATTTCTTTTTTAAAAAATACAGACTTTCTTCCCCCCTCAGATTATAAAATACTAAATATGTCCGAGTTGTAAAAATAGAACTGCACTTTTAAAAGGTAGCACATGCACAGATATGCAGGTAGACATAATGGGGGAGTGTCTGAGTAGTATAAAGCATGTTGTCGGTGAAAGATCAGTATTTCTGGCAAAGAGATTGCACACCGTATAGCAGTTAAAATCACACTGAGTTGCTGCCTCGGCGAGAAATGGCGAATAATCAATCTGTTAGATGACATCTGGATGCTTTTACCCGAGGTCGTCATTGGGAAGTTGGAGGAAGGCCGCCGTGTGACAAGTGTGGCTGCAGAGATCGGAATTGCTCACAGCATCGTTTCACGACTTTGGAGACAATTTAAAACTACAGGAACAGCTATCCGGGGGTTTAGTAGTGGTCGTTCACGAGGAACCACACCTGCAGATGACCGGTATATTGCCTTACAGGCCAGAAGAAACAGGCGGCAGACAGCGGGAGAAATCGCTAGACACACGACGCAGGCGACTGGACGACAGATATCGCGTTTTACCGTGGCCAGAAGACTGCAGGGTGGTGGTCTGTTTGCACGACGCCCTACGCCCTGTACGGTGTGTACCTCTAACGCCTGCCCATCGGAGAAGGCGTTCTCTGTGGTGCCGGGAACACCGGAATTGGAGAGACAATGAATGGGGACGAGTACTCTTTACAGATGAGAGCAGATTCAGTCTGAGTAGCGATTCTCATCGCATACTCATCTGGAGAGAGCGGGGAAGCCGCAATAATCGATCGAACATCATTGAAAGGGACAGGTATGGAGGTGGCGGTGTTCTCGTTTAGGGAGGCATCATGCTTGGTAGTCATACAGACCTTCACATCTTCGACGCAGGTTCAGTCAATGGGACCCGTTATTGTAACAAGATTTTTCTTCCATATGTGCGTCTTTTTAGAGGCGCTATGGGTCCGCAGTTCCTTTTCATGGACGACAATGCACCATGTCATCGCACAGTAGATGCCGAACAGCTCTTAGAGAGTGAGGATATTGAATGTATGGATTGGCCGGCACGATCTCCGGATCTCAATCCTATCGAGCATGTATGAGATTTTCTAGGCAGAAGCTTGGCAGCTCGTACCTTACCACCAGTAACGATTCCGGAGCTTCGATTGGCGTTGCAAGACGAATGGGCAGCAATGCCTCAACAATTCATTGACACCCTCATTCTCAGCATGGGCAGACGCTGTAAAACCTGCCTAGCAGTCAGGGGAGATCATATCCTCTATTAAAGACCAGATGTTTCTTGCTGGACACCCATCACAGGGATGTTTTGGCCTTCAGTCGCATTGCGCTCCAGGCTACTTTTTCAATAAAGCTTCTTTTTATCCCTCTGATTTCTCTTTTAGTAAGTGTTGCTTACATTACTCATGTCCTTACGTATTGGGGATTTTACGGTATTAAATGTGTTGATTTGAAAAGCTTTTGTACAAAGTTATATTGAAAAAACCGTCTCGTCCTTAATTTTTGCAAACCAGTGTAGAACCAGAATATCAAGTCCTATTATTATTACTACTATTTTACGTTTGCAAAACAGATAACATTTTACATTACATTAAGTAAACTTTACAGAAAACCTGTAACATTACCTGTAAATGTAGCTAAATTGGTACAACATGTATTTGCAGTTATTATATACAGTTCTAGATATAATTTTTCTGTTTCTCAAAAATAAGCAATATTAATAATGGAAAATAAAAAATATTAAATGGAAATGTACTCTATAAAATACAAAAATTTGCAGCATGGATTACTTTGATCAATATATGAAAAGGTTTGTTTAATTAAATTACTATGCAAAAAGTGAAACAGTATGCACTGACACTTACCTCGCTTTCATCTGTTTCACCCTCTATCAGACCCTCAATTGATGTCTGAGTGAAACAGAGTGTTTCTTGGTAAGATTCAAAATCATGGTTCAGTTTTTCGTACAAAGTAAGAAAATTCTCATCATCAATTTGCAAAAGCTGTTTTACTCTGTCATCAAACTGGAGATAAAGAAGTTCACATTAGCAGCTACACAACTCATTATACACCTTATCAGACAGTTGATAGAATTTGTTAAGCACAGAGATAAATATTTCAATATTTGCATCTTCAGGGGTAAAAAATATTCAATTTAAATTAATCTTTTCATAAGTTCAATAATTATCAACACATATAAAATTAATAATTTTTTCTTTAAATAAACTCACATTTCTGAATATAATCTTAAATTCACTTAACACAACTTACAACAAGTAACTTAGGACTGGCAAATAAACAAAATTTAAAAACAAATTAAGGATAAATGTGTAATGTCCATACACTAACTTTTAAAAAAGAAAAGAAATAAACAAAGTACAGCAACGTATACAATTTTGATTAGGCTATAAGGAATCTCGGTACTTACGTATTAACGCAACCAGGCCAAAATTCGCATAAATTGCCAAATTTGGCGACCCTACTTACGGCAACCCTACATGTTATACGTAGTTTTGTAAAAAGAGCATGTGGAGATTCACAAAATTTTCCTGCATTTTCGTGCAAATTTTTGTAATTTATGAGAAAATAGCAGTGTACATGGATAAAGTCAAGAGTGTGCGCAATGCCATTTTTGTGCAATTCTGGGATGTTTTTTTAAGTAAAAATAAGTCGATGTGTACATGGTTATGGCGAATACAGTTTTCAATCAGTGCTAAAAGCAATAGCCAAAAGATTTCCGCCGAAAAAATAACTCTGCAACTTATTCAAATTCGAAACCGGAAGGGTTTAATTGCTATTTTATATTTTAAAACAAAATAATATAAAAAACTGTATTAAAAATTACCTGTAATTAATAAATGTACATTTTCTTTCTATTCACACTTTTTTACTCAAACTTACAAATAGCGCCAACCTGGTTGCGATAATACGTAAGTACCGGAATATCAACAGTTCCGGACATAACATGCTATCAATAATACAAACTTCTTGTTATGACAACACATAATTAAACATGCTTTAAATCTGCTCCCAATTTGTTGAACATAATTTTAATTTTGCATACTTAGAATCACTTTAAATTCTATATGAAATGTTAAAGAAAAAGGTTTCAATGTAAAAAGAAAGGATGCTCAAGAAAAAGGTTTGACTTTTTTATGAATGCTTGCAAAATCAGCAAAAATTACAATAAATGAAAGAAATCATGTGTTTATAATGATCCAGTTTCTACAATACCATATGCTTTTGTCAATTTTAATTAATTGATAAGTAGTTCAAATAATTCAGCCAGTTCCTGAATTACCCAGTAAAATACCAGAGACTATACTCATTCAGAAGTAAAACAATAAAAATCAGCTTTATACTTCTGAATTAGTATTTATTCGGCATGTTATTGTGTCTTAACCAGAGACTATGTTCACTGGTAAATCATGATCCCATATAATTTAAAGGCAATACAGAAAAAAAGCAGAATAAACTCATATTATAACAAATAGAAAAATATCATTAATAATGCTACGGATTTGGTATTTAAATAGCTAATGTTAGTAGAACTATAAATTAAACTGATTTATTCCCCATGCAGTAAAAGAAAGCAAAGCTGGAAAACTAAAAATACAAGAGCGCATGCATTTAATATTTAACAAATAAATATCTCTTTTTGATTTCAAGAAAATTCTCGCTTGCGATTTAAAATCTTATAAAAAGGAGGAAAACCTCCCAATTCAGTAGCAGTTATTTTGTTGTTGTTTTAAGAGTTTGTTTAGAAAACTGCTTGATTGATTGTAGCGAATTCGCGGATTAGCTTTCTTTAGATGTTTTGAATTAACTTCTGTTGAATGTTTTAATAGTTAAAAGATAACTACTGTGAGATATTGTAATACTGAAAGAATATCTGAGGAAATTTACGCATTTTTGGTGTGTGATAATAATAAATTTTGTCCATTTTCATCGGACTTGTGCATTCATCATAACGAACCTGTACACGCACGCAACAATTTTGGTCAGGAGTGGGGTTGAATGTCAATTACTAGAGCGATGGAAGAACATTTGAGGCAGCTCATCAGTGCTTTTGCTGTATCCCAAGAAAAGATGGAAGCTGGCCAAGCATCATTTAAAGAGGAAATGAAAGCTTGTCAGGAGAAGATTAAAGCAGGACAAGAAAAGATGAAAAGAGAAATTACCTGCATAATAGAAAATAAATGCCATGGGGCGGAAAAGGATTGACAAGAAACTAAAGTGCAGAACACCCCAGGGTACGGAAATTGACACCATTTCTCAGCAACGACACAGGAAACAAATTAATGACCTTATCGAGAATGGAGGTTGACAATAATGAAAAACCTTGTTTTAAGCGCTAAGATTCTACAGGTGTGGCAAGTAACGGCCTGCCCATCAATGGGCATATCGATGAATTTGCTTGCAATATGATCATTGACACAGGAGCTAATGTTACCATCCTTTGGAGGGATTTAGCTCAACAGTTCAAAGACAACAGACAACTTCTTTGGACGCCATCCTGTGTTACCCTTCAGAGTGCATCTGGTGATAAGATCCATATAGCTGGAAAGTTAAACGTGAGCATCACGTTTGGAAGTGCCGCCTACCATCACACGGCTTATGTCACGGATATTACAAATCCATGCATACTCGGATTGGATTTTTAAGGAGATACAATTTTTCCTTAGACTTCAAAAATTTCTGCATCTGATGACATGACTATCCATCCTCAGAAGGGACCCTCACCTGGAAATGCTGACACCTTGTCCAAAAGACCCAGCTCAGGAAGCTGCCAAAATCATACTAGGGTCGAAAAGAAACACAAGACTACCTCCTATTCTCCATTCCAGACGCTTTTCGGTCGAGACCTTCGTTTGCCTTGTGACCGCCTGTTTGGTCGCCCTACGGATGCGCCTTCATTGTCTGAGGAATACAGCCAAGATGTCCAGGCCCGGTTTGAAGTGATGCACCATTCTGCATGAAAGTGAGTCAACTTGGCGACGGAAAAAGTGAGGACCCGATGCGACACAAGAGCTACTGGACATCGATTTGATGGAGGAGAGAAGGTGTGTTTGTGGAATCTGACTCGACGAAAAGGACTCTGTCGTAAATTACAGTCACCTTGGGATGGTCTGTACACAGTTCTAAACAGGCTGAATGATGTCATGGTTTGGATTCGTAAGTCATCGAACTCTAAACCTTAAGTTGTTCATTACGACAGGTTAGCTCATTACTATGGCCATTACGTAGTGTATATAGTTGTAAATAGTATTGTAAATAATATTAGACCATGGTCCTGTTTTGTTTCTAAATGTGTATTTGATTTTTATTTAGCATTTGATTTGTATTTGATATGATTAATTGTATTTATTGTTCATTTTTTATTGTGATGTAATGCTTATTATTGCATTTATGCCTTAGTTGCAAGTTTGGTTTCCTGTCCAGGGATTGTACTGTCTGGGACATGCAGTCCTTGGGAGGGGGACAGTGTTTTGGATTTGGTATTTAAATAGCTAATGAACAATAATTTACTTGCACTGTCAGACATTTAATTCAGATAGTCAGCTTCTTTGATTAAATAAATTTGATAATGGAAGAATAAACATTATTAATAAAAGAAAAATTGTTAAAAATAGCATTAGAGAACAATATTCACACTAAAGCTTGACCAATGTTATTAGAGTTTAAACTTGCACAATAGTAAAGAGCATAGTTTTATTTAATGTTAATGGTTTGTAATTGTAAAGTACAGTACAAAGTTCAAAATTTGGACATCCAATATCCAAAATGATCTAAAACCTAAATCTCTGGATCACCAGCAACCTTTTTTTTTTTTTTTTTTTTTAAGATTTTTGCATAGTAAAACATGTGGAGAGAATTGATTCTTAATTTTCCTTGGGCACGGATGCCAACCTGGTGATCATTATTTATTATCTTTTGTTTCCATCACCTCATGATTATCATCAACATCTTGAGAAACAACCCTTGTGCAACAATGTCTAACCAGTGTTTCTCAACCTTTTTTTGCTATATCCCACCTAATACTGTCAAAAATTCTTATGCTCCTAGCAGTAAAATATTTAAAATGAAACACAATTTAAAAACATTTTTACGTATAATCACTTACATTAATCTTTATTTTGGGGAATAAAAAATGAAATTTCGACTACTTGAAGAAAGTTTGGAAATTTGACTGTCCTTTGTCACCTTAAACTCTCGATGAGTCTATTTTCGAATTGCCCCACCCTTAACAATTGAACTGCCCACCTTTGGGGCATGGGCCCCATGTTAGGAAACACTGGTCTAAACTGTGTTTTAATATTAATAACTGAATATTAAAGTGCATGATAACATTTTATATTGACGATGATTATGGACTTTGCCTGACTGCTACTAAATGTTGAGTGTGTTGAAAGGAGAAATTAAAACAAAAACTTTCTACAGTCATCCATAGCCTTAAAAACTAGAGTTTCTAGTGTCATACTTCATAGATCAATCAACATTACTTAGAGCATCTTGAAGATTGAAAATTAACTGATTTATGTTAGTGTAAGTGTATTCTAAGTACATCTCTACATGAGCACGCAAAATAACAGCACACTCAGCGCAGCGTCCTTTGATCATTTGCAGTAGCTCTCCTCACTACTCACCCTTTCTCGTAAATCCTGTTCCTATTCGCGGTCGTCTCTTGTATATCCACACTTCTACTGCGATAGCTTTGGAAATGTGACAAGGACATATGGCATATTTCTACGAATACAAGCTGAAGATTTGGCGTTCTCTATCAAACAGTAAGTACAGCTAGTAGTTTTCAAAAAATATCTTTCTAAACACATGATCAGGTTCTCAGGTTGTGGAAAATTCAAGAGCACTTGCGCATTGATGCCCAGCACTACGGTTTGGGCAATTATTTCAGCAAAAAATAATTGCCATTGTCCACCTCGTTGGCATTTCTCCTTTGAGGCGACAGCGAAATTTACAACGCACGTTGGTCTATCTACGGTAACTATACTACGCTCTTATCACATTGTGTTATAATCATA